GCCTACTCTAACAGTTGATCTGAAAAACAAACTTTTTTTATTATTTTACTACGCTAGCAGAAAAGCAATGTTAGAGGTAAGTTTTGGAAAGGTTACAAAATTTAAATAATGCCTGGAAATTTGTCAGAAAGTATAAAATAAACTTTAAAAAGGGACTTTTAAGCAACTAGTAATGGTCTTTGAATAGGCGCAGGCATAAGCATAAATTTACTTTATGACAATCTAAGGAAACAGCCTCAGTATATGGCATCAGTATATGGCATCAGTGTATGGATAAAGTAAAGGTATCGCAGTATTGTTGTGCCTTGAATAACGTCATGGTGAAAAATGGTTTGCATGGTGAACTAGAATCCATATAGAACAAGGATGAAACTAGTCTACAACTTAGCGTAAAACCCAGAAAACAAAGGTTGCACCAAAAGGCACAAAAAATCTTCATTGTCGAGCAAGGGGAAACGCAATAATGGAATGATTCCAACTCCATCACAATCCTGACAAATAATGGAAACTGATATGAATCCTGCTGAGTTGTTATAATATTGCTACAATTTCATGTTTTCCGTTTGCAAATTCTTCCAACCTTGCTAAAAAAATCATTATTAGTTTCATAAGTTTCTAAGTAAATTAAGAAATTATATTTTGAACTTATTTAAATATTTATGTATCTATTTTATGTACTTTTTTTTTTTTTAATACTGAGCAGGTGATGGAGATAATGATGTTTTGCCATATCCTAAAGATATGCCTACTGCATAAAAAAAAGTTGACATCAATTTTTTGTTTTAATTTCTCAAGAAGCATATTCAGCAAAACTCAAGTATCAGAAGAAAAAAATCAACAGGAAAAAAGAAAAGTAAAATAAAAACAACTGCGACTTGTCAATGCTGATTAGCGACCCATAAAATAAAATAAAAAGCTGTAGAAATGATAACTAGATCATGCCAAAGAGATTAAAACAGCAACAAAAATAATTCCATTTCAGTATCCTCTGCATCTCAATCATTGTTTGGTACCAAAATTTCATCAACAAAATTAAATAATGTTAATGTTTCACAAATAAAAAAAATCTTTATTAAGCATTAATGAACCACAATTAAAAAAGCAAGCTGAAAATTAAAATAAGAAAAAATTAAAAAATCTAAGAAGCAAGTTATAAAAAGAAAAAAGTAAAATTGGCAAAAAAAACTGCAACAAAGATAGAACTCCTTGTGGGCCATTCAAAGTTTCTATAAAGATAAAAATGAAAGAAACTAGATTAAATGCCAGCAATGCTACCACAACGCTACCAAATTTTTTTGTTTTTATTACAAGAAGAGCGATTCTGACTAATATACTCAATCTTTGCAAACTCTTTTTATATCATTCGATATATTTTTCTATTGTTAATGTATGAATTACCTTACTATAATATATATATATATATATATATATATATATATATATATATATATATATATATATATATATATATATATATATATATATATATATATATATATATATATATATATATATTATATATATATATATATATATATATATATATATATATATATATATATATATATATATATATATATATATATATATATATATATATATATATATATATATAACGGAAGATCGTAGTGATAGAGTATCAGAGTAACATTGAAAGAGTACCAGAGTATTTCTTTTAATTAACAAGAACGAATCAATGAAAATTAACCTAGGTCTTTTTTTATCTTCGTAAGTTATTTTGACAAATATGTTCTAACCTGTTTTTAAAAAAGGTTTTAAAGTTTATGGTGTTTTAATAAATCAAGCATACTTTGTTTAAAGGTTAATATTTAACAGTCACATATAAAGCTGTTCAGGGTTCTTTTTATAATTTTAGAATTAGAATTTTAAGTCCGTAAAAACTTATGACGGTGGAACTTGGTTAATACTTAAAGATAAATGTCCTTCAAAAAAAAAGTAAGTAAAACATTTATAATTTATGATAAAAGAAATTGTATTTAAAATGTTTTATACGTTGACTATGAAATCATCGATTCTACATTTATTACAATTCTGTTATGCTGATTTAGGTTTCTGATGTAAATAGTAGATTTGACTTTTAAAAGTTAAATAAATAAAAAATTATCAAACAATTTTTTTTTGCTGATGATCTTCTTTATATGTAAATACAGTCTTTTTAAACCCAACTATTGAACATTAAAACAGGAAGTGGTATTCATGTTTTGATTAATTTATTCTAAACAAGAATACCAATGATTTTTCATTAAATCCTAGTCCGTAGTATTAACGGAAACTTGTAAGTAACATATCTTATTTAGTTAATGAATTTTTATAAATTACAACAACTTGTAGTTTCCTCTCTTCAATTTGCAGATTTACCTCAAATATATCACTTGTATAATCCATACTTGGTTCTTATCTAAGACCAATTCAATAAAACACGATACTCTGACAGATAATGTTAACATGGTGTGTCCTTCAACATTTGAAACTTTTCAAGGTAAACATTACTAACACATTGTTATTAAACTTTTCAAAAAATATTATAACATTTGTAATAACGTAACAAAAACAATAACAATTTTTAATAAGAATATTTTTAAAATATTCTGTTATTGTAATCAATTTTATGTATATAAAAGTTTAGTGCGTTTCATTACTCCTTCTCCCATTTTCAATTAAATTATCAGGTGACATCAACTTTTATTTAAAACGGCAATAAAAGAATTTCTGTAAATATCTACAGGTTATGCAGCCAATAGTGCCATAGCTTAATTTAACCCAGCTGGATTTATAGAGTTTAGAATGCAGTTTAACTCATTGTAGAGTGTTAAAAACTTTAAAAAAATCTAAAAAAAAGAACTAAAAAACTAGGAAGACAGCAAAAATGACAAGTAGCCCATTTTCAAAAAATAAAAATAAAAACGGAAACGTTTGTCGCAAACTCTTACTATAATTCAAAATAAATATAAACAATTATGTCGCAGGGCCATAATCCCAGCGGGAACACAACGTTGTATTAACGTTTTATTTACGTTAGATTTTAAGTTAGTACAACGTTGCCGGTTCGGCAAAATAGAAAGGTTTTGTAACGTAAAATCTTACGTTAGATTTACGTTAGATATTAACGTTATACGTTAGATATTAACATTACTCTCGTATTAACGTAAAATTCTAAAGTTAGATTAACGTTATACTAATGTAAATTCAAGTTGGAAAAACATTGGCATTTTATTTTACTGTAAAATATTGGTTGTAACTATTTCACGGTCGTTTAGATATTATTAAAAAGCCCTGTTTAGGTACACATGTGTAAAAAAACACAAAACTTTTGAACTTTTAAAATGGCTACGGTTCTTAACTACAGAGAATATTTTATATGGCAACAGATTATTTGTTAATTAATTTCTGAAAAGCTTTATTTTTAACATAAATAAAAATAAAAATACAAAAATTTCACAAAAATATAAAAAAATAGATGTAACAAAAATCTTTGCGCTCTTTAACTTTATTTTTATTTTATACCATTTTATTGCAAACCATAGATTTGTTTATTTATTATAATTTTCTAAAAATCTGACTGTAGGATTTCAATGATTTTTTTTTAAAACTTTAGATAAATATGTTCTATTTGTATGATATATGTATATATATATATATATATATATATATATATATATATATATATATATATATATATATATATATATATATATATATATATATATATATAATATATATATATATATATATATATATATATATATATATATATATATATATATATATATATATATATATATATATATATATATATATATATATATATATATATACATTATTTTGTTTATTAATTTGTTTTTTATTAAAGTGTTTAATTTAAACTTTAAGTACCTTTAATTTAAACTTTAAGTAACTTTAAGTAATAATGTTGTTTTTCTTCAATTAAATAAAATATATATACATATTGCTCTATTACCATAAATCGAGCACTGTTTTTCGTACAAGAGTTTTGTATTATTTTATATAACACGTAACCAATCAATATATATATATATATATATATATATATATATATATATATATATATATATATATATATATATATATATATATATATATATATATATATATATATATATATATACATATATATATATATATATATATATATATATACATATATATATATATATATATATATATATATATATATATATATATATATATATATATATATATATATATATATATATATATATATATATATATATATATATATATATATATATATATGTATATATATATATATATATATATATATATATATATATATATATATATATATATATATATATATATATATATACATATATATATACACATATATATACACATATATATACAAACATTATCGTTGTAATATATATATATATATATATATCTATATATATATATATATCTATATATATATATATATATATATATATATATATATATATATATATATATATATATATATATATATATATATATATATATATATATATATATATATATATATACATATATATATATATATATATATATATATATATATATATATATATATATATATATATATATATATATATATATATATTAGGAAAAAGTCATAACATAAAAAGTAAAATTTTATATCAAAATAAAGTTGGAGCGATGACGAGAAAAATATAATCAATATAAAACACATTTATCTAAAGTTAAAAAAAATATTACTATTTATTAGGGTTTTCCTAGAAGAACATTTTTGAACAATGTATGCAGGGCCGGAGCGAGTAGGTGTCACGTAGAGGAGAGGGTGCCATTACAATTTTTGCCGACTAAAAAAAAAAAAACTAGTCTAAAACGGTACAATTTGCCGACAATGGGTCCAGATTGCCGACTAAAAATCATTGATGGGGGGATGTGACACCCCCCACACACCCCTATCGCGCCGGACTTGAATGTATGCTTAATGTATTTTATATAACAAAAAAACTGTTTTTTAAAAATTTTTGAATAAAAATTATTTTGATGACTTCCTCAAGACCCATAAAAACTTGTTGTGTTCCTTTGAGACCCCCAAGGAACATAACAAATAATAATATTATAAAAAAATTATGCAAATGAAGCAAAATTAAATGAAAATTTCGATATTAAATTTAACACCATAAAAAACAACTTTATTAATTATAAAAGAAAAATGTCCATTTATACCAATTTTTGGTAATATTTTTTTTTCAATAAGTTTTTTATAATATAATTAATATATTTGAAATTTTTATGATTTCGCTTGATTTGAGACGAAATGTCAATATACATTTTTGAAGATTTTTTAAATTAATGATATTTGGAATTGTTATATGTTTGAGGTTTTAAAAAAATTTTTAAACTTTTTTTATCATATAAAACACATAAGGAGGTGACATTAAGAGGTGATATTTTTAAAAAGTATTGCTTTTTGGGGACCACTTTAAAAGTATAAAGTATTTATCATCAAAACGAAGTGTGAACATTTTTACTTTTATGCTCTAACTGAAATTTAAAATATTAGGTAACTATAATAAAATTAATAATAACATATAGCTAAACAAATTTCAAATAATATCTAAATAATAAATAAGCTGAAAATAATACAGTGCATATACAGTTCCAATCATATGTTAATTTAAATAATGTTTTAAAAGCCACATAAAATCAAAATTACTTATATATTTATTTATCTTATGTATTTTGATAATAAAAGGGTGTTAACCAGGAATAGCTTTGATACAGCGTTTTGACGAAATTGGGATTTTGATAAAATATGGTTTTCCGTAATAAATATTATTTTATAATAAAATTTATATATTATTATTATTTATATTATTATAATTATAATAATTATTATATAAATATTATTAAAAAATTGTTTATTATTTATATTATATAAATATTATTATAATTATAATAATTATTATATAAATATTATTATAAAATAATTATAATATTATTTTATAATAATACTTATATAATATTATAGTTTATATAATATTATAATAATATAATAAATAATATTTTCCGATTAATACCCCCTCCACCTCCCCTACCTACTTTCCCTACTCCATACACACACACTTACCCCAACCCCCACCCCATCAACCCCCTCCACCATTCCTGTAATTAAAATGTGTTCCGGGAATGCGTGGGCCCTTTTTTTATCTTCTTTCCTTATCCACTCCACTTCAGCGCTGGATAGATTAATTAGACAGCGCCAAAAATAAAATAGAAAACTTACTTTTTAATACACAAGCAAATCTAGAAAGCAACTATTAATTTAAATCAATAAATCATTTCTTAAAAACAACCATATTTTGATCGTTATTTATTTATAAACAAGAGAAAAAATACTTTTTTACTAGTTTTAATTTAGAAAACAGCCTTTCTACACAAGCAAGACTTATCAGAAAAATCAACAGTAAGTTCAATAAAAACATGTTACTGTATAAATCCTGATTTAAACTAGTTCTTTTTAAACCAATCCATAGGGATTGAGCTCAGTACGATTCTCTTTTTTCTTTAACTCTTGTCGCTGTTGTTCAGTGGATGCATTAAGTATTTCATGAAGGTTCCCAAAGTAATTTAATAATGTTGACAACTCTGCTTTGCCATAATCAATTAGATCAGCCATTTTTGTTGGAAAATTGCAAGGATCAAAAACCGATAAATCGACTTGATGTAGGTAAAGATGCGCAAATGTCACTGTCAGTAGATTTCATGTTTTTGTAATTTTCTGATGTAAAGAATTTTTTTACTGATCCGTTTAAATTTGCATTCAAATTCAACTCTGTTTGTTCAACGTATATAGGAATATCACTCAAACAAATACTTTCTGGTGATGACTGCAGAGAAAGTACAAAAGGACCAATGGCAGGAAAAACATCTAACAACATAAGTATTGACAGTATTGTTTCTTTACTTGAAGCTTGCAAAAACAAACCAAGTGGCTTCTGCTTCTTTTCACTCGTTATAGCAAGTACATAAGGCAATTAAAAAGTTGTTATAATTGTCAAAAAAAGTCAAGAGGCTCTTTGGCGAGCAGTCCATCGAGTTGTTCTTGGGCATATAGGCACAATATTGTCAATATCGCCATAAATATTGGCACTTTCTTGCAGCAAATTCATTGCTGTTGTTCGATATTTAAAAAATATCCAAAGATTAAGAAGAAACACATCGGCTTCCTTTACACATGCAATGTCAGAAAAAAGATGTTTAAAGCATACTGCTAACCTGTGGCTACTACAGCCAACCCAAATTAGTTGCGGAACTGAATGTTCTAAGAATGCCTTTAAACCCCCTTTCTCTCCTGAGTTTTTTTTTTTTTTTTTTATTTATTTATTTTGTCACTAAAAAAAAAGAATACAATGCCGTGTAATATAAATAAGATCTACATGACCGGGGTTAAAAGTAGACAATACTTGCCTTATCACTACACCCCGA